CTTCCCCCTCCCCCGCTGAAAGTTGCTTTTGCCAGGATATTTAATTACAGCAACATGGGAAAAAAAAAAAAAAAAAAAACTAGGACAGATGGATGGAATAACGAGTAGATGGATAGTAGCAGTAGATATGTGGGTGGACTGGTAGTGGATAGTCTGGTGGATAAAGGATAAAGGCAGTATGGATGGATAGGTAACAAGAAAGGGAGAAGGGGAGGAGAGGTGGGTGTGAGGGTGGATAGACTGTTGGTGTACAGGTGGAAAGAGCAGCTGGGGGGGGGTAAACAAAAGACGGCACCACGTGGCTGACATAACATATTTTAAGCACTCTTTTTTTTTTCTTTTTGGTTTTTCGAGACAGGGTTTCTCTGTGTAGCTTTGGAGCCTATCCTGGCACTCGTTCTGGAGACCAGGCTGGCCTCAAACTCAGTTCCACCTGCCTCTGCTTCCCGAGTGCTGGGAGTAAAGGTGAGTGCCACTGATGCCCGGCTCTAAGCACTCTTTAAGGCATAAGGTACTAGGTCTTGGGCCTCATACCTGAGTTCATCTCAACAAACAAACAAATAAATAAGGCTCATGGAGCTCTCTGAGGCCCCCCCCTGGGGACTCAGTCAAGTCCTAGAGACCCCAGAGGAAGATCAACAGCTGCACCCCATGCTGGTCCAAGTCCTGCCTGCCTGTCAACTATCACTCCATCTTGGCACTGTTTCAGTGGTGAGCCTGGGCCTCAGCGCTGGTCCAGGGCTCCCACTACTCATGGTCCTATGGCATCCTTCCTGATTCTGGGTCAGTGGCTGACAGGTGCCTGTGTGTCAGCATCATAGGGATGCAGTGTCTCTTACCTATGGGAAGATACCCCTGACAGGCGGACAAACCACAATGGCCAAATCACTTGAGATGCTCACAGGAAAGAGCTGGAGTCTCCCATGTGGGAGAAAAATCACTGTATGTGTGTGGAGAGGGGGTTAAGAAACACTGCTGTCTTCTGTTGGGTGGTCCTGGGTTTCCTAATGCTCCTGCCTCAGTCTCTTAGGTGCTTGGAGGATAGGCAGGCACTACCACACCTGGTGGAGAGCAAGCAAATAGGAAGTGAAATGGGGATGGCAAGAGGGACTGCAGGTTGGAAAGACGAAACTCAATACATGTGCATCTTGGGCATTTGATACATTCATACAAATAAAATAGTTTAAAAAAGTGAAATGTTTGGGCAATGGGCAATGAAGAGCACTGGCTGCTCTTGGAGGCCCTGGGTTTGGTTCCCAGCACCCACATGGTGGTCCAGCACCATTTGGAACTGAAGCCCAGGATTTTATTCCTTCTCTTGGCCTCCTAGTGCACTAAGCAGGCTGTAGAGACATACATGCAAGCAAAACACCTTATACACAGAGACCTTGTCTCAGAATAAAAAGAAAAGAAAGTGCCCCAATAAGATCAGGCTGCAGGCAAAAATGTAGGGCATTTTCTTAATTAGTGATCAATGGAGGAGGCCCAGCCCATTGTGGGTGGTTCCAACCCTGTGCTGGTGGTCCTGGGTTTCAAAAGAAAGCAGCTGAACAAGCCATGAGGAGCAAGCCAGTAAGCAGCACACCTCCACAACCTCTGCATCAGCTCCGGCCTCTAGGTTCCTGTCCTGTTTGAGCTCCTGTCCGACTTCTTTTGATGATGGACAGTACTGTGGAAATCTAAGCCAAAGACTTTTCCTCCCTAGACTGCTTTTTGGTGATGGTGTTTATCACAGCAATAGTAACCTTAACTAAGACAGACCCCTTCTCAAAAAGAGCAAAATGTTTAATAAAGTAGACAAGAACACATTTTACCTAACATATAAAATAGTAAATCCACCATTGACAGAAAATAGAAGGATCAAGCCAGGTGTGAAGGCACGGCCGCCACCACAGTGAGTCTACACCACTGGGCAGAAGTGAGAATAAAGAATAAAGGAGCCCAGAGAGTGAAAGGAGGGTTGGTGCTTTCTACTTCCTCCCCACAGGGCAGGACAAGGACAAGAGAGCCAGCCAGAGCACCCAGGACAGAAGGCAGCACCCAGACTACCCAGCTGTCAAACTATTGGGGGGGGGGAGCATGGGACTCATCTAAGTCACAGAGAAGAGCCTGGCTTTAGCCACTCACAAGTCCTTTGCAGCAGAGGTGTGACATCAGAGAGTGTAGTGGCTTTGGCACCCGAGCTGACAGCTCCTTCCCCAGGCCCCTCAGAGCTTTCTAGCTCCCAGGCAGGAGATGGCTGTTGTATGACTCTCGCCCTCTTCCTAGGGGCTTGTGAGAAAATCCTACTGTCACCCCTGCTTTACACAAAGGCAAATTGAGGCACAGGAAGTCAATGTGGCTTGCCCAGACTACACTGTGGGTCAGTGCTGACCCAGGGCTAGTAGAGCTTGTCCACTTCCAAGCCTGGACTCCATGGCACTGCCCGAAGGGCAGGCACAGGGCCACATACTGGGAACTACCTGTCATCAGGCTGAAGGAGACCCACACATGGCTTCAGGGAGAAACAGAGCCAGGAGGGAATACAGGGAGAAGGTAGTTCTTCCAAAGGAAAACAGGATTTTGGGGCTGGAGACACAGCCAATGGGTCAAGTATCCAAGCTCCCCAGCACCGCCCCCCAAACGCCAAATGTGGCAGCATCTATGTTTCTATAACCTAGAGCCAGGAAGAGCAGAGACAAGAGGAATCATTGGCTGGCCTAGGTGAAAACTGCAAGATGCAGGTTCAGTGAGACCCACGAGTGGTTAAGGAAGGCACCATCTGCGTAGTGACAGAGATGACAGGTTTCATTGTCAGGAGTGTCTCAGAAAGGAAGAGTTAGGAAAAATGGCCACCACTCACTGGACGCATCAGCAGAGATGATGCCACAATGAATACCTCGGCCCCCACCTTGTCACTGAGAAAAGGGTGAGGGAAAGTTCCAGAAAAACAATTCCTGAATCTCAAATGACTTTTACTGAACTGTTCATTTGCCACTTGTGATTGTTTACCATACTACGTCAGAAGTGCGGGTACAGAGGGTAGAGGGGACAGTGAATACAGGGTTCAGGCATCCACTGGGGGAGGCTCCCAAGATGGGTCTCCACAGGCGAAGAGTATGATGAGGCTCCCACAGGGTGCCATCTGTTTCTGGAGCCTATGTCTGCAGACCCTCAACTCCTCCTGCCATCTATCTGCAGGTTGGTGGGTGGTTTCTTTGAGATAGGGTCTCACCATAAACCTGAGGCTACCCTTATATGCAAGTTTCTCCGGCTTCCAGACAAGACAAAGGGTAACAGAGAGGTATTTGCCACTTGGTATCTTTTGATGCCAGTGAGAGGTGCAAGCCCAGTGACCTGAGTTTTATCCTCAGGTTCAAATGATGAAAAAAAAAAAAAAAACTAACTCAAGCAATCAAGCAAGGTTACCCTCGAGTTCCACATGGGTGCCATGTCACATGCGCCACCCTTCTCCAAAGAAAAACCTCTGGTTAGCTGAAGGCGTGACCACTGGGGCCTGTGTGATGCAGTCCTGGTTCTCGGGCCTGAAATACAGAAGCCCGAGGAGAGGGGTACAGTGTGGATGCATCTCCCTGGTCTTGGGGTGCTCCCTCACTGGGCAGCCCTGGCTGGCCTGAACTCACTATGTAGACCAGGAGCTAGCCTTGAACTCACAGAGTTCCACCTACCTTTGCCCCCAAGTGCTGGAATTAAAATGTGTAACACCAGGTCCAGCTTCTAGCCCCAGTTTTGATTAATTTAGGTTTCCTACTAAGTTCCCTTTGGGATCTGGCAGTGGATTCAGGCAGGCTATATTTCCTGGGAACTAAGGAAGAATAAGGTATGCTTCCACCGACAGCAAGAACTCGGAGGCAGGTATGATGAGCTAACCACTGCAACTACATCAATGGAGATTGCTCAGACCTTCTGAAAAGCAGTTTTGAGAAATAGCCAAAAAGGACTGGGGGCGTGGCTCAGGGGTGGAGCTCCTGCCTGGCATGCTGTAGGGGACCTGTGTTCCATCAGCACCATTGCAAAGATTTAAAAAAAGAAAGAAAACAAAACCACGACAAGGTTGAAAAGTCACTGAAGATGGGCTGGCACCCACCCCACTACTTCACAGGTGGCTTTTCTTCTGGGTGCGGGTAGAAAAAAGGTAAAAGAAGTTAGACTTATTTACATTCTGCAGTGCTCTATGAACACACTTTAGAGAACTTACTGGAGTGCTGGGATGAACTCAGGGCCCTGACCATGCTCTGCAGGCTCATGCCACTGGCCACACCTGCAGTCAGGGGAACTCATTTCTAAAGCAAGCAAATGTCACTGAGGCTCAAAATTGTCTAGAATATTTCTCTGGGAACATGTGCTGGATAGTTTCATATAACTTGACATAAGAGCTGGAGTCTTCTGAGAGGAGGGAGTCTAAGTTGAGAAAATGTCTCCATAAGATCTGACTTTAGGCAAGCCTATGGGATATTTGCCTAATTAGTGATCAATGTGGGAGGGCCCAGTCCATTGTAGGTGGTTCCATCCCTGGGCTGGTGGTCCTGGGTTCTGTAAGAAAGCAGGCTGAGCAAACCAGTAAGCAGCTCCCCTCCACAGCCTCTACATCAGCTCCTGCCTCCAGGTTCCTGCCCTGGGTGAGTTCCTGTCCTGACTTCCTTCAGTGATGAACAGCGCTGTGGAAGTATAAGTCAAAAAATAAACCTTTTCCTCCCCTTTTGGTAGTGGAGTTACATCAAAGCAGTAGAAACCCTAAGACAGAGCCCTCCACTGGTACTGCCTGAAGGGCTCCCAGAAGTGCCTGCTGTCACTTTCCTCAGAACAGCTGTGCAGAGGTAGGACACTCTAAGTTGAGGAGTGAGGAATGGCATGCATTGCTGCCCCACCCTGATCAGGTGCTGAAGGGGCTGGTAGTGATGGTTAAAAAAAGAAAAAAGAAAGCTGAGAAAAAAAAAAAAAAAAAAAAAAAAAAAAAAAAAAAAAAAAAAGCCCTTGCCACTCTACTTTCATTTCCCTCCAGTTTTATTTATACCGGGTGTTGTTCTTGAAAACTAGCAAGGTAACCAGAGAGGAAAATCATTGGGGTGGGGGAGGGTGGGGGGAGGGGCAGGCACAGGCTTTACAAGTGTCATGAAGTCAAGGAGCCCCAGGATGGTATAAACAGTGCACGGGACAGGATTTTCCATAGCCCTGGCCAACTGTGTCCTGGCCTGGTGCCGACAACAGGAAGTGGGCCTGGCTTTCCTATCCCAGTTGTGGGGAGGGGAGTGGGGGAGGACACACAGGCTTATCTGCGGGTTCCTCAGAATGAGGCCTATGCAACTGGAGGGTGTTTGGGCAGAGAGACAAGGAAGGATTGAATAGGGGTGGCAGCCAGTATCCACTCTAGCCTTGAATCCCAGCATTTGATTGAAGTGGAGAGCGGCCCAGACCCTGCCCCAGCCATGTCCATAGCCATGGCCTCTCACTGAACACTTAGAACTCATTAACATTTTCACGTGAGTGTAATATCATTCCTTCCCAGTCCCCAGAAACCCCCGCTTTCACTCCTACTCCTACGTCTTTAGTTTTCAGGTTCTTTCTGTGACTGAGCTTAATTAGCTGCCCATGCTCATATGGGCAACCAGCCAGTGGTCACAGTGCAGCAGAGAAAACTCCTTTCATTCAGAAACCTACAACTGCAGATACCTTGTACACTTGCTCAGGCCTTCTCTGGGGCTGACAATAAGCAGGGAACAGGTTCCAAGCCTAGACAGGAAGGAGCCCATAACCTGAGACAGCACTGATCACCAGCCCTTGTAGGCTGCTGCCCCCATGTGGCCAACATGTCCTGATTGCAGAAGCTGGGTTCCCAGGGCTCATGGCTGCCTCTGCTTCTCCAATGTCAGGTGCTGCCTATGATACTGGCTGCTCCTGGACCTGTATGCACAGGACTCCCGCTGCTCCTGGACCTGTATGCACAGGGCTCCTGAGTGTGCCAACTGCAGGTCTCCTGCTAGAAGCCAGGCCTCCTTGTGCTTCTGTGTAGGTCTGTCACTGTGCTGAAAACGTGCAGTGTGTCAAATGGTTTTGGAAGCAGCAGGTCACACTGCATGCTGCTGCTGCTGCCAGCCTTTGGCACCTCACAATTCCTGGGCAGTTAGGACACCAGTGAAGAGGGCATGGAGGGAGAGGGGGGACCCATGCCTGGGTGCTGGCTACCACATCTCCTGGAGTTCCACATCTGAAGACAGAAAAACCCTGCATCAGCACTGAGTACACACAGGCAGCTTTCCTTCGGATTACAGTGGAGCTATGGGAGGCACACATCGCTCACATCCTGTAAGACACTTGGAGCCGCCCAGAGGTGCAGGCTGTGGTATTGATTCATGTCAGAGGAGGGATGCCAGTGAAGGTTTTGATACCCCAGGGCATCGTGTAATACATCTATAGATACCGAGGGATGTCTGCCCCCTCAGAACGCCCTACCGCCTCCTTCAGGTGCCCCATGAGGAACATTTGCAAGGCATACCACACCACTCTAAGGACAGATCTGGGGCTGTGCTAGGGGAGGACGGGGACAGAGTAGACAGGGTGCCAGGACAGATCAGTGGCTGAGAGTACACACCTGTAGCACTCCTGTCCTTAACTGTTTTGAGGCACTGTTTCCCTATACGGCCCAGGCTGGGATGGAGCTGGCCGTCTTCCTGCCTCAGTCTCCAGGGTTTGCTGCTACAGCTGGCTTGACTTTTTTACTCATTACCAAAGACGATACCAACATACATCAAACCAGCTGACACAAATGCACAGTGACTTAGTCTCTCTCACCAAGACCACAACTCCAGGTTAGGAAGTTCTTCGTAAGCATGAGCCCTGCTGCTTTCTTCTCAGACAGGTCTATGGCCCTGTGTAGCCCAGACTAACCTCCAATCACAGTGGTCCCTCCACCTAAGCCTACCAAGTGCCAGAGAAAGACACGTGTCCCACCTGGGCCTTGAGCTGCTAACCCTTTGGGCTGAGAGACAAGCTCAAGATGTGACTCTGCTGGATGAGTGACACCAGCCACAGTGCATCCCAGAGCCAGAGCAGACAGGGAAGCTTTTCAGAGACCCCTGCTCAGCACAGAGCTGTGGCTTTTGTCCTTGGGCAGTGCAAGCTGTCTTCATGTACATATTTATTCACCTTTGCTGTGATCTTGTCCACACTATTCAATACTCTCAAGAGTTTGGTCCCTGGAGGCTCCAGGCATTTGTATGGTCTACTTTCTCCAGATACCTCAAGCCTGAGGCCTGTCACCCTGGCCTCCTGGGTCCACTGTGTCTCATCTCTTCCTTCCCTAGGTCCTCAGCAGACAAATGTGCTGCCTCGGGCCACTCCCTGATCTTGAGTGTGCTTGGCCGCAGAGGTGCCACTTCATGTCCTGAGATATGATCCTTGTTTGATCAGAAGTGAGATCGAGATGGGCCACAGCTGACCCAGGTCAGGGTATTTTCTAGATCCTATCCGCTCTGCTGTGTGACAAGTGCAAGCACGTACACGCGTGGCAGCAGCTGTGTCTGGCCACCCACACAAGAGGTGTGTAGATACGGGCCGTGGCTCAACTTCTTGGAAGGGGCCTTACCTTGGACATTTGGCTGAAGTCAGCGAAGCCCTCGGCACTGCTGAAGGAGCTGCTTCCAAAGGGATCTAGGGTCCCAAAGGGATCTGCAAGAGGCACCAACACAGTTGGAGTTACGGTTTAAACAGATGTGCATAACACTCAAGGGGCAATCCTAGGGTCCAGGAGCAGGAGATTCAGGGGCGCAAATGTCTCTGGGAAGATGGCCCCTGTGAGGCGTGGTTCAGAGTGCCCAAAGGAGGGACTAGTTGTTCCCCGAGCCTGCCATCCTACCAGTCCAGGAGAAGCAGGTGACATGGAGAGAATGAACCATTTGAGGGTGGCCCGACATATTACAGTTTATGTGTGTGTGGGGGCACCAGCTGGAAGAGATTCCCCTACCAGATAAAGTCTCTCTATAGCCCAGGCTGGTCTGGAACTCACAGAGATCCCCCTGCCTCTGACTCCTGAGTGGTAGAATTATTAAAGGTGATGTACTACCATGCCTGGGTCTGTTTTTCAGTGCTGGGTCCAGAGGTGGTTGCCACCATGCTTGGGGAACTGGACTGTTCTCATTAAGGACACTGGTGTTAACAGACAGACTGTCTGAAAGAATGCCAGCTCCTGCTGGGGCAGACAGCCCTGTGAGGGGTGAGATTCGGGCATTCACTTAGGCCTCACAGTCTCAGGCAAGGACTTGAACTCTCCACCTGAGGCCACACTAATCTGGGGACTGATGGCATTACTGAGGCGTGATGTGGTCAGGAGGGCAGGAGCCTCTGTTTCTCTCACCTGATCCTTTTGAGGAGATGCTGGAGGAAGAGAAGGGATCACTGGATTCAAATGGGTCAAGCTGGGGAGGAGAGAGAGAGGAAGAGTTTATTCTGCCATCTCATCTAGCCACTCAACTGTACTTTCCTCAACTATTTAAGTGCCATAAGCAATAGCACACCTCAGGGAGACTGGGGTGACTCAGATGAACCTGGGCAGAGGAGGATAATATCAACAAATACCCCACAGTAGGTAACACTGATGAATGCCACAGTCCCCACAAGTTGCCAATGAACTGCAGCCCTGAGAAGTGAGCCAAAGCCACAGACACAGACAGTGTTAAGATCTGGCATAAGGGCCAGGCGTTGGTGACACACGCCTTTAATCCTAGCACTCAGGAGGCAGAGGCAGGTGGATCTCTGTGAGTTCGAGGCCAGCCTGGTCTCCGGAGCGAGTGCCAGGATAGGCTCCAATGCTACACAGAGAAACCTTGTCTCAAAAAACAAAAAAACAACAACAAAAGATCTGGCATAAGGGATAGGTATAAACCCCTGCCTAGAATCCACAGTGAGGGGTTGGGGGTGTGGCTCAACAAAGGTAGGGGAGTCTGTCTTTCAATGGAAGGAAGAGAATCAAATGACATATGCCTGGCCAATTCTATGAGTACTTAAGGGGTTGGTGGCACACACCTTCAATCCCAGCACTCAAGAGGAAGAGTCAGGCGGATCTCTTAGGTCAAGGTGAGCCTGGTCTACAGAACTGGTATCAAGACAGTCAGGGTTACACAGAGAGACCCTGCCTCTCAAATAAAGAAATAAATAAAAAATAAATAAAATTAAAAAGAGAAATTAACTCTTTTAAATTCATGCCTGCCATCCCAGCACACAGGAGGCCAAGCCAGGAGGATTGTTGCAACTTTGAAGCCAATTGGGACTATCAAGAGAGACTATGCCTCAAAAGGAAAAGATAAATAGAGGAGAGATTCATATATAAAGGACCAAATCAAACATGACAAATGCTGATTGCATTATGGAGGCAGTGACAGGCAGATTTCTGAGCTCCACGCCAGCCAGGGTTATACAGAGCATACCTATCTCATATAAAACACATACATACATACATACATACATACATGAATGTTCAGAGCTAGAATGGTGGCTCAGTGTTACAAGCATTGGCTTCCCTTCCAGTGGGCCAGAGCTGGGTTCCCAGCACCGACATGGTGGTTCACAACCACCTGTATCTCAAGGTGCAGGGAGGGATCTGATGCCCTCTTCTGGACTCCATAGGCACAAGGCACCAGCTACTCATGTGGTATACAGAGAGACATGCAGGCAAAACACCTATCCAACTAAAATAAAAACTTAAAATCTTTAAAAAAGAAAATCCCAACAGAAAAGCAATTACAGGTTGTGTTTCACTCTCCAACATGCTAGGCAAAGGGACTGGATTCTAGAATATGTAGAATTATGCAGGTACAATGAAGATGGGATGGGGGCTGCAGTCTCAACATGAAATTCATTTCTCGTGTGTGAGGTTTGTTTGCATGTGTGGGGATATGTGTGTGTGGAGAAAGGCCAGAGGCACCTGGCTTCTTCTTCTTCTTCTTTTTTTTTTTTTTTTTTGGTTTTTCGAGACAGGGTTTCTCTGTGTAGCTTTGGACCCTATCCTGGCACTCGCTCTGGAGACCAGGCTGGCCTCGAACTCACAGAGATCTGCCTGCCTCTGCTTCCTGAGTGCTGGGAATAAAGGCATGCGCCACCAACGCCTGGTGGCACCTGGCTTATCTTATTACCCTCTGCCTTCCTCCTCTGAGGCAGGGTACTCACTGCACCTGAAGCTGACCAGCAAGCCCCAGCCATCCTCCTGTCTCTTCCCAGCTCAGGGTAGGCTGTGAAAGAGCACAAGCAGCTTGTTTCACAGGTGCTGGGGTCTGCACGCCCACCTCAGGCTTGCACACGTGTTCTTGACTGCTGAGCCACCACTCCAGCACGGCCACCCACCCTGTGGCTTTTTTCTTGGGTGTGGGGGGGATGAAGACAGTGTCTGACAATGTCTCACTACTTGCTATGAAGACCAGATGGGCCTAGAATTGTTTTCTTATATTCTATACACAGCCTGAAGGGAAATCCACACAGCATTATGAGTGCACTTGCACCTTGGCTATATGTCCAACCACATGAGGTCAGATGTGGAACTTTGCATTTGTATCGTGATGTCAGGTCTGGAAGGGGCAGATCAGGTCCTCTGTAGTCTCATGAAGGGAAAGCAAGCCAGCCGCCATGCCCAGATACTCATAATATCCGCGGTAGCTGTGAGAGACGGAGTGGAGGTGGGAGCAGAAGACCACAGCAAAGGAGAGGACAGGAAGGGACAAGAGCTATTTAAGGAGACACCCTGCCCCAACTTGGCACTGCAGTACACTGGCTCACAAGAAAGGACTTGGCAATGACAGTGCTAAGAGCCACCTCACTCACCAGGAATGAGACCAGGCTTGTAATCCTAGCTCCTGGCCGACCCTGCCAGCCTCCTGGACACCATGGACCCACCCCAACACACATCAAGTCAGACCTGCTTGAGTGGGCCTCACAGCAAGACTGCTCACCTTTGGAGGTAAGGAAGGGTTCTTCGTGAAGGGGTCTGAGGTAAATGGGTCGTTCTTTGTCTGTTTCTTGAAGAAGTCATCAGTGGTTGAGCTATGGAATGGGTCACTTTCTTTGAAAGGGTCTCCTCCAAATGGGTCTAGAAAGAGAGGGTACAATGGTGAATATAGATACTAGAAAGACATAAGGAGCGGACACCAGTGAGACGTTAGGAGCGGATACCAGGGAAAGAGGGCTCAGGATGAAGCAGAAATCGTGGTGACTGAGTAGTCAGTTGCCCCGGGGTCTGTCCACAGGTGAGAACCTTTCAGGGTGATGGACAGTCCTTCAACTTTCCACAGCTCTACACATCTGTCAAAGGCTTTACTGGCATTTGCTGCCACACCTGACAGACTGACCCCATGGAGAAAGAGAACTGACTCCTGAAGTTGTGCCTTGCCCTCCACATGCAGCACACATACACACAACAGTTAAATAAAAGTTTCTTGAGACAGGTCCTTGCTATGTAGACCAGCTATATAGGCTGGCTTTGAACTCAAGACCTCTGCCTACAGAGTTACTAAGTTCTGGGATTAAAGGTGTACGCCACCATGCCCAGTTTACAGAACTTCTTCCAAAGGAGAATGTGTGGTGTGTACATTATGCTTTGTAATAAAGCTGCATTTAAAAAGAGTAAGCAGTATGGGTGATGCCAGGGGCAGGAAGCACACTGGCGGCACCAGGCAGGCATTGGACAGGATGGGAGCCAACTGTGACGGATGAGGATCTTTTTTGTCTCTGTGGCTGGGAATGGAATCTGGGTTTTCAGGCACACTAGGCAATGTCAACACAGGGGAAAGGCACACATGACTAACGATAGCTCTCTTTTGCTGTAACATCACTGCCCCTAGCATGAGTGGCAGGAAATCCCACCATGTGTAACAGTTACCTCACATATCTAACATCAGCAGCTATGGCACAAGTGACCCTGTCCCCAAACAAACTGGGTCTGGAGAGACTCTGAACATTGTCAGGGAACAAGGAAGCCAGCCTTTACCTGTGGCTGCTGTCTGCTGTTCTGTGAAGGGATCATTCTGGAAGGGGTCACCTGGAGCAAAGAGAGAAGCAGTCAGGTGAGTGGAGGGAAGACTGTGGAAGGCAAGCCCCTCCCTGGTTTAAGGGAAAGAAGTGGTCCCTCTATACGCCGGCCTTGCCACAGCAGGGTCATGGGTGACAAGTGATAGCCCCAGGCAGGAAAACACTTAAGATGGACTGGGTGCTTGGCTGGCTACAGAAAGAACTATAGTCTTTGAGAACTCACTTTTTTCCTTCCACCCTGGATCCCTGCATTTCTTCCTACCTTGCTCAGAAAGAGGACAGGGACACAGTGGTTGTCCCAGTCATGTCATGATGACCTATGGCAATACCAAAGCTGCTGGCTATGTCCCTTAGACCTAAAACTAAAATCTGAAAATTCTCAAGGTATGGTGACACACACCTTTAATCACAACACAGGTGAGGCAGAGGCAGGAGGATCTTTGTGAGTTCGAGGCCAGCCTGTCCTACAGAGCAAGTTCCAGGACAGCCAGAACTACATAGAGACCCTGTCTCAAACAAAACAAAACAAAACAAAAAAACCCTGAAAGTTAAGAGGCTGGAGCGGTCGGTGGCTTAGCAGTTACTTAAGCATCGGTTATTCCTGTTGACGACCCAGGTTCAAGTCCTAGCGCCCACATGGTGGCTCACAACTGTCTGTAATTCCAGCTCTGGAGGATCTGACACCCTCTTGTGCCCTCTAGGGGGGATGCACACACATGCAGGCAAAAAGACCCATACACACAAGAAAGTATTTTAAAAAGAAAAGAAACACAGTCCTTTCATGGAGATGCAGGCTGGGGTATACCTTTGAAAGGGTCAGCTCCTTTAAACGGGTCAGACTTGAAGGGGTCCTCCGCCTGGAAGGGGTCTGGATGCAGGTCTTGGGAGTTGCTGCTAAACAGTAAGGCTTTGTTTTTGAAAGGATCGTCCTAGGATTGTGAAGAAAGGACAGGCACTGAGTTACTTCTAATCCAAGTGCAGGATTCCACACCTAAATCCAATCTGCACTTGACGCAGTGTGAGCTGGAACAGAATGCGTGAAGAGGAATCACTCAAGTGGAGATTTTGCCTAAAAACAACCCTGGACTGGTTTATTTGCGGAGATAGCAATGGGAACCAGGTGTGGCACGCATGGAAACTCTGCACCATAGCTTTGCATTTTTTCAATAAATCTAAAGTGACTCTAACAGTCACTGAGGGGAATGAGCAAATAGATGGAATCTACCCACCTACATGGTAGAATAATATTCAGTCTTGAGGAAGGAAATTCTTCTGTAAAAAGAGGAGACTTGAGGGTGCTGGAGAGATGGCTCAGCAGTTAAGGGCACTGACTTCTCTTCTAGAGGACCCAGGTTCAATTCCCAGCACTCACATGGCAGTCACAAGTGTCTGTAACTCCAAGATCTGGCACCCTCACACAGACATACATGCAGGCAATAATAAACCAATGCACATAAAATAGAATAATTGTAAAAAAGAGGAGACTTGAAGATATGAAGCTAAGTGGAAATAAGATGTCATTGACAGAGATAAATCCTGTGATCCCATTCATACGGGCCCTCTGGAGTCAGCACACTCACAGGGACAGCAAGTAGAGTGATGGAGTGATGGGGCCAGTGCCACTGACTGCCACCCTCCAATAGTCCTCTGTAAAGAAACAAGTGGGCCATTTCTGCCCAAGTAGGAAGTGGGACTTGGGGTGACACTGGTGAAGTGGGAGCTGCTAAAGCATGCAGGGTACTTTGCATTTTTATAAAAAGGTGCTTATTTCTAGAAACTGGCAAGTGTATTCAAAGCAGTAGAAAAAAAAAAAAAAAACATTTACTTTTGAAGATTGCTTTTCCATAGTGGGAATGGCCTTGAGGGGTGGGGTGCTCCTGCAAGCAAAATGCTGGGTTGAGAATCAGGAGTCTGTTCTGCTTGAGACACAATCCTCCACAAAACAGGGCTGATTAACTGGAATACTTTTTTTAAATTTTTTGGGAGGCAGTATCTCACTGTGCAGCCCTGACTGGCCTGGAACTTACTAAGTAGACAAGGCTGGCCTCTGCCTGTCCAACTGCTGGGATTAATTGTGTGAGCTACCATGACCAAGTAGATGGTTTCTTACAGCGGAATCCATGGCTGGGCAAAGGGACTATCACTCCCCACATGACCAAGTCATTCAAAGCTGGGGCATCTGTGAAAGCAGACAATGGTTTGAAGAAATGACATGAAGAGCCTAAAAGGACATGTTCTAATAAGGCTGCCTACACCTGGGATAGGAGAGTGGTGCCCAGAGGGGCTTAGTTAAGAGGAAGCCACCAGAAAGGAATGGGGAGCACCCTGGTTCTGGGAAGGCAGAGGCAGGAGGACAAGAGTTCCTGACCAGCCTAGCCACACAGCGAGACTCTCTCAGGAAATGAAAAATCAAAGATAAAAAATTAATAAGCAGCAGTTACTGACTTGGGTGACAACAAAGTAGGGCTATCTTCTTACCTGGAACTAATTCTTCAGACCTTCTGGACACAAGCCTTCCCAGGGAAGGCAGGCCTGGCACTCAGGGAGGTTAAGCACAGATGCAGCCGGTGCGGCATCTGCTGAGGGCACCTGGGTGCTGCCAGCCCCGAGAGACATGCGACCGGAGACTCTGGCCATGTAGAGGCCTAAGACAGACCTCTCTGCCACACCACAGGCAAAGGAAGGACACACAGCTGTGGGAGTCAAGGACAGAGAGACACTAGCAGAAGGTCATAACCTAAGGAAGCCCTAGGCTGGGCAGAAGACTCTTGTACAAGCCCTTTGTGAGGAATGGGCTGTGTTCCAAAGGACAACAGGATGAGAGAAGGAGCTTGGTCTCAGAAAGAAGCTTATACCCTTACGGACAGGGTTGGGTACTGACTATTGTTTTCAATCACTGAAGGGAAGACAATGAGAGAATGGGTTTCAATGGCACAAATGTGCCTGGGAACTGCACTACCAGCTCTGCACATGGTAGGATGGTGAGGGATCACAACCTCATTCAGCTGTGGCACCCTTCTCAAAGGGGGCCACAGAAAAGCTGGGTGCAGCAGCAAAGACTTACTGAGCATGTATACAGACCAGCATTGGAGCCAAGACAATGGCTCACATTAAGAGAAAGAAAGAAATGGAGATGGAAAGAGAGCTTTTCCCCACCCACAAATGTGAACATGGCCAGCCACCAGCAAGGAGAATGAAGGGTGTGTCACTCTGGGAGACAGAATACGAGGGCAAGTACAGGCCCGTAGCATTTCCAAATATGGGACCCATTCTATCACCATGTGCACGAGTAGATGCCATTATCCCAGACCACTGAGTCATGTGGTCACTCGGTGAGGAGGTGACTGAACTACATTAGAGTAGGTGATAAGTACCTTCATAGAAATAAAATGTATTAACTAGCTTCATTTAATTACTACCTTTTGAAATATGGAGAATGGGACCCAGGGCCTTACACACACTGGCAACCCCCCACTGCTGAGACATGTGCCCAGCTGCAGAAAACACCTTTAAGGGCAAGGATGCAGCTAGCCCTAAGCTCTGCCGGCTTTCAGAGGGCAGACATGGCCACAGATGACATCCAAGAAGTTTCTGACAGAGTGCTGGGAGATGGGTGTGGGGTGCATCCCTTTCATCTTAGTACTTGAAGGCAGAGGCAGATGGATCTCTGTGAGCCAAAGGCCAGCCTGGTCTTCATAGTGAATTCCAGGCCAGTCATGGCTGGAATAACTCTGTCTCAAATAACAAAACAAAACAAAAAGTATACTGTGTGGGAGCCCAATGCTGGAGCTCCCGTTAATTGTCCTGATACAAACATTCCTGTCCTCAGTTGAGTTCAAGTTACCAGCTAAGCAACTCTCACTTACAAATCCTTTCTGGGAGTCCAAAACCTTGGCTCTTGCATGTTACCAGGGCTGGAAGTGGCCAAGGACCCAATCTGTCTTGATGAGCAGAGTAACAAACAGGATGGTGCATGGTTTTCTCACTGTGGGGTGGGCTGGCTGGGAGTCTGGAAAGACGCTCCATCAGTCCCAAGAAATAAACATGGCTTTGAGCTGGGCACAAGACTTGGTGGTGAGCACTTGCTAACACCTGTAAGACCCTGGGATCCGCCTTTGCTAACATGTGTGAGGCCCTGGGCTCTGCCTTTGCTAACATGTGAGGCCCTGGGCTCCACCTACAGCACTGTGAAAGAAAAAAGTAATTAAGGAAACACACAGAGAAATGGACATGGCCTTAAGAATCCTATGTCTCCATCAGGGGATCTTAACATTTAGCTCAGTGGCACAAGAATTACCTGTAGAAAGTTCTAGATGTGCCACTCTGGTTGCACTATTCTTCGTTAGCACAGCCTGTAGGTGTACCCGACAAAGAGAGATGACAGAGCACACCCTGCTCCAGACAGTCCCCAGATGGAACACTGAACAAAGACCTTGCTTCAAAGTGTTTATTAAGAAATGGAAACAACCCCGAAAATGATCTGTATTAAAACTGTATTTATACAAGGAGATGTAGGTTCCTTCAGACCCAAGTCCTGAGTTTCTAGCTAATATATCTGATAGTTACACTGTACAAGTGATGGTCAACTCTGCAAACTCTACCTAGTTCAACAATGGGCAAAAATGACCAGGTACAAAAGGCTCAGATGGTAACAGAAATGACCAGCCACCTGCAAACGGTCACCCACTGCCAGGATGCAGCCCAGGATGTGAGCCTGATAAAAGCTTCAGGATAGCCCGGCACACACCTTTAATCCCCGCAACTGGAAGCCTGGAAGCTCTGGAGTTCCAGGCCAGCCTGGGCTGCAGGGACATCCTGTCTCAAAAAAAAAAAAAAAAAGCAAAAAGAGAAAAGGAAAACAACAAACCAAACCGTCTACAAGGAGAGGCTTAGAGCAAGCATTTCCCTGGCCCAGGATGCAGGACAAGCCAGCTGCACGGGGAGCGATGTGAGATGGAGCGAGCGCAGAGTGCAGTCACAAAACAGAAACACACCAACTGCAGGCCCTGGAGCAGAGAGTCCCATGGAAGAGTGAAGCCTAAGAAGCCTGTGGTGGGCAGAAGGAAGCCACCTGCTGGTGAGTCTAAGAGTGAAGGGGGCCTCTGTGGCAGACACGAGGGATCAGCAGGGTTAGAGACAGCACCTTCTAAGTCATCCAGGGCAAGTCCAGGCTTCCCTGTGAGTTCTTGGATATGACAGAAACAGAGAGGAGAGAGGGAAGGTGCTGTGCTTAGAGCACAAGGCAAGGAGGGAAGGAACCAAGAGGGAGAAGCAGCAGGGCTATAGCAGGCAGAGCCCTGGAAGATGAGGCAGCCAAGTGGTTAAGAGCAGCACAGCGCCCCAGACACCAGGCCTCATCCCTGGGCTGGGGCTGATGACCCCAACAAGGGGCACTGACAACCCGAAAGAAGTCACACTACCTGGGCTGCTGGTTCGCAAGCAGTGAGGACCACACAGTGTGGAGGTTCCCCAGAGAGGCCTGCTGACAGCTGACTGCACAGCGCCTACAAGGCAGGTGTACTGTGGTGCTCTTGGTATGCGTCACAGGATGGAACCTGGGGCCTGCAGTGCTCACTACAAGCTGCACCTCAGCCTGTTTTTCATCTTTCAGCATCAGTTGACTTGAATAGCACACGTGTACCCGCAAGGTGGCCATCAATGGAGCATGGAGCTTCCACAGCACGGGACCACATTGGCTTTGGTTAGGTCTGCCCTCCACATTTGAGTGATTGGCTCAACAGAAAAACTTCTGAGGAAACGGAACACTTGGGCCTTGCAGTTTCTAGACAGCAGGATGAACTTGGCCATCAGCCCTTGGCCCTGTGCCATAAAAAAAAAAGGGGGGGGGGTGCCACACACTGAGGAAGTCAGTGCTATGTACAGATCTGCAGCTGCAGCAGAGCCCATGAGGACCAGGAGACGCTTACTCGACCTTTACCATGGCTCCAAAGCCGCCCCTCTCTGCCAGCAAGACGCCTTCACTCAGGGTGGCCAGGTCAGGCAGGCTGGTGCCAGAGACCCCATCAGACACCTGGTCATACTGTTCTAGGCTCCGGTGAGCTTCTAGGCGGTTCTCCTGCAGCTGCGATAGCTTGCTTCTTGCCTGCAAGACAAACACCATGGACATCAAGGGGACCTTAGGATGCAGCCAGCAAGATGCCTTCCCCAGGGGATCATGACATGGCAAGGACTGTCTTGCACAGACTATACACTAGAAGAATCAATGGTCCATTAAAACTAAGACACTCTACTGCTCAAGAGCTCTGTATCCCCGCCCCCAGGGAAGCACTTGCCACCCACCCCCAAAGGTTTGCCAATTCTCAACCGACTACAATGAGACAGAATCTGGGGTTCTCATTACATGCTTGCTTTCCCTCCCTCCCAGACAAAGATCTCATGGAAAGGGAGGGTCACACAGGCAACAGTGACAGCTCATCGCACATAACTCGTCCTGGACCCAATCTCTTGTTTCTCTATTTTTTTGTTTTGAGACAGGGTCTCTCTACACAGCTCTGGCTGTCCTGAAACTCACTCTGGAGACCAGGCTGGCTTCAAACTGACAGAGATCCACCTGCCTCTGCTTCCCAAGGGCTGGGATGCACCACCATGGCCCAGTTTTTTGTAGTTTCTGTCTCCTCTAATTTAAAAGAAGTATTGGTAATGATGGGAAGGCAAACACGGGAATGTCAAAATGAAACTCGATGTGTAGCATCTGCTAATGAAAGACAAGAGCAGAGGAAGTCCTGCAAAGGCTGAGCAGAATAGATCACCAATTCAAGGCTGACCTGAGCTACATGATGATACTGTCTCAAGAACAATAACAATAAGAACCCCAAAATCCAAAAAAACTGAAAGAAAAACCAAAACAAAAGAAAGGAATGATGGTGACCATGGTGATACACACCATTAATCCTACCACTCAAGAGACAGAGGCGGGGTCTATGAGTTCAAGGACAGCCTGATTTACACCGTGAGACCTATTGAGCGCCATCCCAGCCACTATATCTATCAGCAATTCCACATGTGTCTTGGGCCATCTCCATGTCAGACTATGAAGACAGGAGGAAAAAGCCTAAAAATAACCCCACAGAACTAAAATGTTCATAAAATCCAGTTGTAGAGACGGAGAAGTGATGAGCAAAGGGGTCAAGACCTTGCTGGAAAAACCCACAGAAACAGCTGACTTGACCAAGTGAGAGCTCACTGACTCCAGTCTGACAGCTGGGGAACCAGCATTGGACAGAACCAGACCCCCTAAATGTGGGTGTCAGTTAGGAGGCCTGGGCGTCTATGGGCCTCTGGCAGTGAAACCAGTATTTATCCCTAGTGCACAAATGGACTTTGGAAGCCCATTTCCCATGGAGGGATACTCTCTCAGCCCAGATACACGGAGGAGGGCCTAGGCCCTCCCCCAAACGACGCAACAGACTTTAATTGATTCCCCCATGGAAGGCCTCATTCTCTCTGGGGAGTGGATGGGGGTGGGTTGGAGGGATCAGTGGGGGGCATGGGAGGATGGGATGGAAAGGGAACTGGGATTGATATGTAAAATAAGATTTCTCCTAAATTAAATGAATAAATAAATAAAATACAATATAACACATGAAGCCACAGAGACAGGGAGGTACCCATATTGCCCTGCCAGCCTGTAGCCTACAGACAAGCAGACACTTTTAGTCTAGAGGACACAGGTTTTCTTTCCTATGTACCAAGACACAGAACCACCTTGTTCTGTGGCCTGAATTCCAGAGACCAGCATGAAATCCAATGAGCACCATATGCAGAAGGACGGGGCAGTGTCAGAGCTGCCTCCCAGCTGCCAGGAGAGGCCAAACGCCAGGCACCCTGAGCCACACTGCACAGAGCCCTCACCAGCTCATCTCTCCAGCTCCACTGACCAACAGAACAAAGGCAGGTGAGACAGAAAAAGCCAGAGTTAACAGTGCAGCCACACAGGGGACTCAGCTTCAGCTGGCCACCAGCTCTGTCAAAATACCTGGTTGATCTCATCCTGCGTGGACTTCAGGGACTTGAGGATGGTCTCCAGCTGGGCACGCCCGGCTTGGATGCTCTGTTCCAGCTGTGTCTCCTCCTGCTGCAGCCGATTCAGCTCTGACTTGGCCCGGTTGAGGTCGTCTTCCTGGGACTTCAAGTCTGACTCTTGAGACTGAATCTGGGTTTTCAATGATGAGATCTGAAATGACAGCCAGAGGACTCACAAGTCAGGGTACAGAAAGAAGACACCGAACTTTCTCACTGTGTAAAGCTGGGGAAACGGTTAGTGGGTAAGAGTGCCGCCTGCCAAGCCTGAAGACCAGGTGGAAGGAGAGGACCAAGACCCACTGCTATCCTATGACCTCCACATGCACACATATAATCTCTCACAAAAATGAGTAAGTATAATAATAAATATTCCTAAAACAGGTAGAGGAGGCATGGGAGAGGCAGAAGGACCTGGAGCCCTGTTCCCTGCTGTGGGACACAGATCTCTAGGGACAGAAGGATCACTCACAGGAGTGATCACTCAAATGCCTGGAGTTTCCCAACTGCTTTGTCAGTGATCCCACTCCAGGCATTCTGTCATCGGTCAGCGAGAGTTGTAAAGGGACATCTTCCACACTGTGGGACTCACCATCTGGGTCTCATCCTGGCATTTCTGACGCACGTCACTCAGCATGTCCCGAAGCTTGGACTTCTGCTGGTCCATCTCGTCCAGGCGGTCCTGAGCACCCTGCTTCTGAGCCTCAAGCTCCTGCAGACTGCTGGTCTCCCTGTCCAGGTCATTCTGCAGCTCCTACGGGAAATGGGTGGGCATTGATGGACACTGGTGACAGGCCCTGAACAAGGAGGCATTAAAAGCAGACTCTAGGGTGCGGTTCTGCATCAGGGCCTGTGTGGGGCAGTGCTCCATCCCTGTTCTGGCTGTCAGAGTGAGCACAAGTGAGGCTAGGGTTCTATACTCAGTGCCCACCAAGCATGAGCGAAACCCAGATTCCCTTACCAATGCTGCCAAGGGAACAAAATTATTTTTGCAATTCCAGTGTGGTCGCTACACTCAGCACAAAACAAGCCCAAACTGCTGGGTGGAGTTGGTGTCCACCTTTAATCCCAGCACTTGGGAGGCAGAGGCAGAGGCAGAGGCAGAGGCAGGCAATTCTCTGTGAGTTTGAGGCCAGCGTGGTCTAAAAAGTGAGTTCCAGACCCCTCTCACCGCCCCCTTCTCAAAAACAACAACAACAAAAAAGAGTGAGTTCCAGAACAGCCAGGACTACACAGAGAAACCCTGTCTCTGAAAATAAAAAGAGCGCAAGCCAAGGTGCAGCAGCCACACCTGCACTTCACTGGTTTTCTGTCTGATGGCCTCTTCCTTCTCTCTGATGTCCTGTTCCAGTGAGTACTTCTCTCTGCAGGGTTAAAGACGAGGATAAAAACAGAGTCAGCACTGCATGGCAGAGCTGCGACCCTGATTGCGGGCCAGAGTCTATACACTCCCACACAGAATGACTCCTGTGACCCTCCATGTGTCCTGTCTCCTAGGCTTGACACACAACTGGTCCCATGCCACCGTGACAGTATGTGTCCTGAAGTCCTCATCAGAGGCCAGATAGATCAGCTTCTAAAACTGAGCCAAGGAAGCCCCTCTCTTTCTACATCACCCTGTGTTGGCCGAGAGTGAGGTACTTTTTTAACAGCAATACTTGGGACTAACCAGCTATCACCCTACCCTAAGGCCCAGTGGAACCTGTACACAAGAGGCCTCTTTCCCTGTGCCCACTGACCGAGAGCACAGTGTCTTATCCATCTGATGACCAACGAGGCAAATGGAGACTCCTAGGTCTGACAAGAACTTGCCAAGCCCTTACAAACTGTGAAAGTTCAGGAGGCAAACAGGGAGCAATAGGGGTAGTCTCCAACATTAGCAACCCCTGACCCACTCTAGCCAGGAAATGGAGAGCTTGGGCCCAAAGTGGCAAGGACCCAGAGAGAAGTCCAGGCACACACCTTTCCCATGGGCTCCAAGACCCCAGACAGCTGATACAGACACCTGGACTCCCTCCTGTGAGCTAACATACTTGTGCCACCATGCTGCTCAATGCTGTGACTGTCACACAGACAGAAAACCTCCCCTACATCCCACACCCAATCAAATGCTACTCAGCAGTCTGAAACTGGAAGTATGCTCAACATGAGTAGGGGCACACTGGGGACAAAGATCTGCACATGAACACCATCCAGTACTACAAGGAGGAGGTGCTAAGGAATGGGGAGATATGGCCAAAGAAGTTTCTGGAGGACAGGAACGGAAAACAAAGCTGGGCTAGGGAGGTCAAGTGAAGTGACATGGAAAGCAGTCGTAGTCACCCAGCTTGTGGTAAATGGCAGCGAGGTACCCAGGCCCCCGTGGCCACCTGTAACTGTTCCTACAGGAGGCAGTGAGGAACTGGCCCACTGTGCACACCAGGTGCTTCAGATTTGGGTCTACCTCCTAAGCTGTGTGCTGGACCCGTCTCTGCTGTTTGTGTCCCTATGCAGCTGTGTAGCCACAACCTGCTGAGGCTACCTGGATAGTACGGGCTCAAAGCAACACAGATCCAAACAGAAGCAGATCTGAGAAGGCTTGTGTCCTCCCCACCCTCAGAGGCTTATTGGGGGCTTGGACACAAGGCTGCTGCATCAGGAGCCACCAGGGTAGTGGGCAGTCACATACCTCTGCAACTGAGCGATCTCCTGGCTAATGTCATCCAGCTCTTTTACACCAGTGAACTCCCCTGACCCGAGAGCACTTGAACTATCCTAGGATCAAAAGTCAGACATAGAGTCACAGGAGGTCAGCAGCCCACATCTCTGGTATAGCAGGGGACCAAAGTGCTGGCTACTGGCCTGAAAACACCCCAGGATGCCCAACCTCCATCCTGGGCTTGGGGACCGAGGACTGTGGGGCTCTTGAAGCACCAGCGCCACCTTCCGGTGGGTGGTGAAAACAACAGAAGCAAGTTGTCTGGCTACTCACTGGAATGGGAGTGCCTCTCTCCGAGGGTGGCACCATGTCAGGCGAGAGGACTTGAGGAGGATCGATGCCTTTACTGACCTTCTGCTGAATGAAATACATAGCTAGCGCGAATTGCTCTTTGCTTAACTTCCCCGTTTGTCTCGTATCAGCCAGGGCCCTGGGAGGAACGTGGGATGCAATTAAACACCACACCTTGCCACCTTCCCCGAGCAAGCCCTGGGCACTGCCTCCATGTTCCAGTGCTGATGAGCACCTCCCTGAGGCTGATCACAGTATGGGAGTGAGGTTTTGGCCTACAGAACTGACAAGTGCTCGGTCTGAGGAAGCCCTTCCCCCCACCATACACCTCCAGCTGACTGGAAGGGTTAAGGCTTTCTTGTGCAGGGTGCTGCAGAAATGCAGTTACCCCATAAAGCCCTGTGCAGATGGGGCAGGACTACACTCATTCCTGTTTATAGATCTGGAGGCTGTCTATGAGCCAGTGGGGACAAGAGCTACAGCATGGAGATCTGGAGACACACTCCCTGCCCAGTGTCTCTGTGCCTAGTGTGCAACCAGAGAGAACAGGAGTGTCCCAGACTTGAGCTGGCAGTGAATGGCCTCATGAGGGGCAAACACGCTCCAGTCATTTGCCAGAGGCAGGGCACAAGGTTTAAGTGCCCACTCTAGCAGCAGCTACTTGCAGAGCATCACTGAAGAGCAAGCAGGCTTGGCTCCTCCATACCCTGAGTGCAGCAGTTCAGCTCTGAAGGAGCCAGCAGCCTGTCTGAAGAGGCAGCTCTCTATGACCATTGCTCCTTGGTCAGCTCTCCTCCCTGCCCGGCTAGGGTTACTCAAGATGGTTCTTTCTGACCATCAGGCGACCAGCTCAGTTTCCCTGCTGCAGTCAGGAAGTTACTCAAGGCCCTGGCCCTGGACAAGCTAACAAAGCTAGACCAGGCCATCCACAAGAGCCCCATTCTGAGATGGCAGAGGGAGGATGAAGGTGGCTCCTCCACCCAGGACCAAATGTTACACAGTGGCCCACAATCTATACCACAACAGCTGTGACTACTTTCAAGGGAACCCTGAGAGCAAGCCTGATGGCTCATGACTGTCCCTGTGCCAAGTGATTTTGCAAACTTTACACAACCTAGACACATCTAGGAAGAGGACTCTTGAGAGAATGCCTCCATCAGATTGGCCTGTAGGCAGCAGCTCTGTGTGGGCATTTGCTTGATTAATGACTTATATGGGGGGGAGGGGAGACAGCTCACTGTGGGTGGTGCCAACCCTTGGCAGGTGGTCCTGAGCTGTATAAGGAGGCTGAGCAAGCCATGAGAAGCAAGCCAGTAAGCAGCACTCCTCCAGGACCTCTGCTTCAGCTCCTGCCTCCAGGTTCCTGCTCGAATTCCTGCCTGACTTCCCTCAGTGATGGACTGTTATCTGGAAATGTAAGCAAAAATAAACCATTTCCACATTGCTTTTGGTAACAAGTGTTTGCTCATAGCAATAGACACCCTAACTAAATCAGTCCCCCATAGGACAGGGTGGGCAGGGTCACTGGACCCTCATCTCATCTCCACATCCCCAATTCTGTAATTCTACCGTAATCTCACATAGCCTGGGGTCTCAGGAGGTGCCAGGATGCACTGAATGTGGAAAGGTAATTGAAGGGGACTCCATCAATGCAGCTGTGGGGGTCATCAGCCTCTTTGGGCCCCCCACCCTCTTGTAGCATCTCACCTATGAACGGCAGGCCCAATCAATTCACTGGTGGCCCACTGT